GTGGTAACTGTTAATTTGCCACCTTTAACCTTATGAAGAGGATTCGTAGTTACATAATCAAATTGAAAACAAACCAGAAAATTTTGTACAGTAAATATCCCCTCAGTATGGAAATTTTACCTTCGAGGACAAAATTTTAAACAAGTTAGAAACAGAAGAGAAAGGGATTATATGTAAGGCTGGAGGTCAAGGTTTGGGGACTGGTGTAGAAGATAGGAGTGAAAGATGGAAGAAACAAACAGAACAGAACAAACAGAAAACCTAGAAACAATGTTTTCCCTCGAACAATCCCAAGAACAATCAATAAAAAGAGAAAAACAATAAAAACAATTTTAAAGCGAAGAAAGGAAAAAAATAAGCCCACTTCAGGACTTGTCTCTGCTGTCACTTGTTGATATAGGGGCAGACTGAGCCAAGGCCCCTGTTGATTGATCCCAACAAGCCAACAGCAGAATTGTGGCAGTGGTGGATAATCCAGCAAACCTACGGCTTTAGTTATACTGAAGTTCAGATTGTTTCTGGTTTCTAGCTATGAGGCTGGGATGTGAGCTTTTCAGCATACAATGCTCTGAGTGACTCCTACCTGTTTGAACTCAGCTCCCTGACCTCCTGCCAGCTTAGACTTGGTTGTGCTTCACCCTGACACTGGGAACCACTAGATAGAGTGAACCCACAGCTGCTCTGAGGTCTGATTTCCATTGACTCCTTTCCAAAATGGCTACTGGCCAATCGTCCTATCCTGGGAAATGTCTAAACCCAAACAACTCACCAGCCACTGCACTCTGCAGCATCCACTGCTCTATTCCACTGGTGTGTTTTTTCATGGAGCCCTCTGTGGTCACCAGTAGTCACCATTCCTCTACAGGTTCCAAACCACCTCTTACTTAAGCCAGGGGTCATGGAGAAAGCATCACTTGCCCCCTCCCTCCTTCACATTGTGGTCCCTCTCTTTGCTTTCCCTGTGGGCTAATTCTCACTTCAGATCCTTGCTGGGTCCCTGGGACCCACTTCCCTCTTCTCTTCCTCACATGTCTATATTCCAGCATCTGGCTTCCAAATGTAGAAGAGGCTGTTTCTCTGCTGCTCACCATCCACTATCTTCCCCTAAGTCCTCAATGTATCTTTTAATCAGTTTGAGAAGAGTTGGTATATTGAAAATACTGAGTCCAGTGTTATCTTAGTGCCAGAATGTACTGCCACAGGAGAATAGATTGGACACATTTCTTCCCAACTCCCTTTTTTAGAAGGAGGCAGAGGCAAAGCTATGTAGAAATTAGAGTGGGATATAGATTCAGTACAGTCCTAATCAAAATACCAACAGCATACTTTGCAGAACTAGAGAAAACAATCCTAAAATTTATATGGATTCAGAAGAGACACAGAATACTGAAAGCAGTTTCTGGCAACAAAAGCTAAGCAGAAGGCCTTAAATTACCAGATGTCAAGTTGTACTACAAAGCATAGTGATAAAAAATGGCATAGTACCAGAACAAAAACTAGTACAAAGATCAGTAGAACAGAATAGAGAATACAAAACATCCCAGACACATTCAGCTATTTGATCTTTGACAAAGGGGCCAAAAGTGTTCGTTGGAGGAATGATAGCCTATTCAATAAATGGTGCTGGGAAGACTCCTTATCTGTTTGCAAAAGATTGAAAGTGGACTCATATTTCTCTCTGTGCACTAAATCAAAATAAAATGGATCAAATATCTAAACAATAAAATAGAAACGTTAGACTTATGGGAAGATAAAATAGGTAAAACATTTGAAGACATAGGTGTAGGAAAGGATTTTCTAAACAGAAACTACATTGCACAAGAAATAACAGTAATAATCAACAGATGGGATTAAATCAGACTAAAAAGTTTCTGTACAGCAAAAGGATCAATAAGTAGATTGAAGAGACAGCCTACAGAATGGGAAAATAAGTTTGCCAGCTACTCTTCAGACAGAGGACTAATATCTAGAGTTTATAGAGAATTCCAAAATAATTCAGCCACCTAAAATTAAAGACCTAGTCAAGAAATGGGGAAGTGAAGTGAACACATACTTCACAGAGGAAGAAATACAACTGCTCAACAAATATATGAAAAAAATGCTCAACATCCCTGACCATCGGAGAGGTGCAAATTAAAAGAACACTAAAATTCCATCTTATTCCAGAATGAATGGCAATCATCAAGAAATTTTTTTAAAAATAGCAAATTTTTGTGAGGCTGATGTGAAAAAAGGAACCTGCCTTCATTGGTGGTGGTAATATAAACTACAACCATTATGGAAGTCAGTATGGAGATTTCTCAGAGTTCTAAAATTAGAAATTCCGTATGACTCAAACTTCTCCCTTCTAGATCTATTCACCAAAGTGCTTAAGACATTGTACTGCAGTGATATATGCATACCAATGTTCAATAGCTAAATCCTGGAAGCAGTCTATATACCCATTAACAGATGATTGGATAAAGAAATTGTGGTATCTATATATCACGGAATGCTACTGGGGCATAAAGAAGGACAAATTTGAGACATTTGTAGGAAAATGGGTGCACCTAGAAAATGTAATGTTGAGTGAAATCGATCAGATACACAGACTTAAACACCATATGGCATCTCTCATCTGAGTAAGACAAAATACAAACTAAGAAAAATAAGGGAGTGATAAATTGAGACAAGGGAATGGATCTCTTGCAGATGGAAAAGCGTCCAGCAGATCAAGGGCCGGGTGTGAGGGGAGGGGAGGGGAAAATAGGTCGAGTGAAAAGATGCCAGGTACAAGGTCCTAATAGCCTGCACGAACATGGGCATTCTATGCCATAAGCATGAACTAAGATTAACAATATTAAGAATGGAAAGGGGGAAAGAGAACTAGAGGAAGAGGGAGGGAGGAGGAGGAGGAAAGAGGATTTAAAAAAAGAAAAGAACTGTATTTATGTACATGCACCAGCTCCCCAAGACGATTGTAGCATGCCTGTACTGCAAACACGTGCTAACAAAATTAAGTGGTGTATTAAATAGTATTATGGTGTCCTAAGTCTATTTGGAAAACATTTAACAAGTTTTAAGAGGAGGATTTGAGGTCACAATACGATCTGTTTTCATTTTTAAAAGACAAGTGATGTGTAAAGAATAAAATGAGTCAAGAGTAGAAGTGGGAAAACAAGGTAATTATTCTAGGAATGAGATGACACAAATTTAGCTTCAAGTGGAGTGTTAAAATATTGTGAGATGGACAATGTGAGTTTCATGTCAGAAGTAGAACCTAACACTTTCATGATAAAATACTATAAAATTGCAGTGATCTCAACAGTTGCTTGAAGATTTACAAATTAAATACATCATGCACATGGAGAAATCTGCAAGCTTTTCCTCACGATTGCTTTTGCATATCTGAATGGATAGGCCTACATAGCTTTGTTCTTGGTTTCCTTGGAACACTGGGATATTAAACATACATACAAGGAATAAAAATGAGCAGGCTTTTTCATTGAGAAATAATTAATAATCCTGACAAATTAATATCCTGCCTCTTCAAAATTCTTAACTCATGGCCTCTGGTTTGGAGTGTACTAAATTCTTTATTTCATTAGCAGTAACTAATGATATAAATATCAACATGGTTTACAGCTACTAATAAGCTTATATCTAAAGTGGGCTAGGTAGTTTGTTAGATATTCCATATATTGTATTCTTAATTCTTAGTAAAACCATGTAAGAATTATCTGTTTTACAAAATGTAGAAACTGATATATACAGAGAAGTTAAATACTCTACTAAAAGTTGCCCAAGTAGTAAATGAAAAGGCCAGAGGCCAAAACCTGTCAACGCTTTTGCTGACAGTTATATTCCTAGTGCCTCAGACAGCCACTGGCAAGTCTGGCACCACTGAGCACTCAATAAATATGCGGTGGCAGGATGAATACATCTGTCTACTGTCTATTTGCTGTTAATAATTTATATTTCTTTTCTCAAAGTAATAAAAAAATAAACCCATGGAGGGCTCAGTGGCACTGTACCTGCCTCACAAGCGCAAGGTCCTGAATTCTATCCCAGTACCAGAAAAAAAAAAAGATACTAAAAAAAAGAAAAAACAGGGAGAAATTTCAAAATAAAATGTTTTTAATGCATAGGTATGTTAAACGCTGTGAGAACTAGTAACCAGGCCCGGGGATTTAGCTCAGCGCTTCCAGCGCCTGCCTTGCAAGTGCAAGTTCCCGAGTTCAATTCCCAGTACCAAAAAACCCCCAAACAATTAACTGTATTTAGGTTATAAAATGGCAAGAAATCAAGTTAATCAAACAAGGAGTGCCACCCCCAAAAGGTGAAGAATTACTTCTTTAATACTTCAAAAGCTGTTTATAACGTAGCCTGCCTCTAATGCTTTGTCTCTGTTTTGAATTGATAATGTAGGTACTTTTATAGCAAAATTAAGTAGACATTTAATTGTTTCCATCTCCATTTTTCTTTTTTAATGTAGATCTAGGAAAGAAAAGACACACCTTAATGTTATCTACCAGGTAATTAAAATCTGTTGACGTGAAATTGAACTAAATTAACATAGAATGAATTTATGAAAGCCTTTCAGATCTGTGAGGTGAACAAGTCTTGTTTCTGTTTCTTTGACCTATTTAATCATATTCTTTTCTTCTCCCTATACCACTTCTAGACATATTTAGTGCTCTTTCTGTCCACATGAAAATCATCTCTAAAAGCACATCAGGATATTTGCAATATCGTTGTTTAAAAGAAAAGATCAGTCTTATTATATATTTGATGACTTGGCCTGTGCCAGAATATATTGCCTTGATGAACATCATTACAAGGACTATGAATTCAAAATCAAAATGATAGAAGAATTATTTCTGATGAAGATTGTACACCATAATCCTGCTCAGAACATTGTATTTTTAGGAAAAATTATACAGTGATAAAATATGGTCCCGACCAACTATGTTTCATTTCTTGGTTCTCTTTTTAAAAAATCTGATACACTCTTTCCCCAGAAATACCACAGATGGCTGGTATCTGTATGCTGATAGTTCAAGTGGGAAATTTGGTGACACTGCTGACATCCTCACTCCTGTTATTTCTCTTACGGGACCAAATTGCACCTTGGTCTTCTGGACTCATATGAATGGTGCCACGGTTGGTTCTCTCCAGGTAATGCTTAGGGTTTAGTATTTTCTGAATTTTCTGTATAAAAATGCAAACTACCTAATTTAGTGTCATTAAAATACAGTTTCTTAAAAATTGAAAATGGACAATGACCAACATTTCACTGTCTTTATAATGGTATAATTGAAAGAAAGCTTAGTAAAATTTCACATTAGTGACATGTAGATAATTTCTGTTCCTATTTAATTTCACCATTATGTCCAGTCTGATGTTATAGTTTCATGTTATTTTACCATGTACGTTTCAGTATTAATGTGCTGAATGTAACGCAATTCAGTGAAAATAGCACTTTGGTGATATTTAGATATATAGTCTTCTCTTTGATGCTACTACTGCTATTTTCTCCGGTAGTCTTTTATAGATTATTTCTTGCAGAAAAAAATGTCATACACTGTTTTAAACTCATAAAGCATTACCCAAATAGTGGAGAAAACTCCATCCAATATACCCTGTACTCAGAAATACTTTTTAAAAACAGTCTTCTTAGTAATATCTCTTACAGCAAGAAATATCACACATTGCACCCAAGCATTTTATTCTAGTTCTTTTTAAATGAATGGTCCTTTACTGTTCCCTAGACTTTTATTACCTGGATATTTAAAAAACTTATAGAAAGTCATTTTGTAAAATGTTCCTCAAGATAGATTTGCTCAATACATTTTTGTACTGATATCACCAATATTATATTCTTTTATATTATAACTCATTAATCTATGATATCTGTCAGTTCCAGTACTTCTGTTTCCTTTATCAATAAATATTTATTGAAGAGATATTTAAAGCTAGATAAAAAGTCCTGATCATGATGCAATATTAGTCACCAGTTGTTGGCTTTATTAATGTTTTTGCCTGGATTAAATTTACTGTGGTGATTGCCCAATTATGGTTTTCTATCACTGTTATTCTGTCTACTTTTGCAGTTTCTATTTTAGTGAAAACCATTCTAATCGCTCTACTTATTTATTATCTTATATTGGCATGGATGCATGAGTTCCTATTTTTATTTAGTGTTTTACAGTCTGTTACTATTTGGTCCTCAAATGGTCTCAAATTTGGTCTAAGGGTCCCTCTAAACTAATTTGTGTCTCATTAACTAGCCACATCATTCTTTGAGCATTTCTTCCTTTTTTCATTTTTATCCAGCCACATCTTTGGGTTAACTATTTCTGGTTAATTTCTGGTTTATTTTGGAAGCCCCAGATATACAAGCAAAGCAGAGAGAGGTTCTGGAATATTAACCTAGACCCTGTGTCCTGTCTTCCTCTACTGGACATGTATTGGTAGAGAACAATATGTAAAATTTGTTAGAAATGTACTCAGATACATTGCTTCCGTGGAAGATGCATCTCCACTCATACTGTTTCATAGCATATGTATTGTTTTTCAGATAGCTATGACTGAAAAATAAATCCACAAATTCCAGAATTCCTTACCAGGAGTGGTTTAGACCAGTTATACCTACTAGAAGCAAGTTATGAAGATTTTCTTCTCAAAATCCATTAATTTGTTTTGCAAAAGAATTCTGTGCTTAGCAGATTTGTGACGAGATTATAATTTTGAAACCTGCCTTCTTTCTCCCCATTAAAGAGAGGGAAGTGCACTAGAATCTAGATAAATACTCACTTATTTCTCTACACCTTTATGGTAATTTTAATAGAGGATTTTCCCCTTCCATTTTATTACCATTTTGTTCAAGAATTTTAGTGGAAACTATGAAAAGTAACTTTTTTTCAAACAAAATTTTAGATAAACACATTTCAAAAATTTTAGTAGCTTTTTAAAAACTGAAGACATTAGATATCAATTTTGGAAGAACTGTCCTCTTTATATCAAGATTGGTTTGGAAGCATATTTGTATACTAATATATCTAAAAGACTCCAAAGAGTCTTGTGGATGGATAATATAATTTATTTTTTGTTCTACATTAACTTTTCAAAAGTGGTTTTAGGCAAAATAATCAGAGTCACTTACTTACAGGGATTTTATTAGTAAAATGAAAACTATTTACCTGGTATAATTTTTTGTTGAGATTAATGTTCTGAAATACAGGGTTTTTTAAAATATTTTGTATTAGCAGATGAAGATTCCAAAGTAGCAATACAATTTTGTAAGCAACTAATCATTTTATAATTGAAATTTTAATACATACTACCTTACTTCTGTACGTGGTTGAATAATATTAAACTTTATATTATTAATATGTTGATTGAACACATTTTTCTCAGTTAATGCTAATGTTGTAGTCATACAAAGATGTTCTTTTTCTTGTACCTTCTTTTCAGTATTGTTCACATAATTTTGTTTCTTTTGTTTTTATTTTTTTTTATTTTTTCTTTACACATAATTTTATTTTGTTGGTAGAAAATTATATTTTCTTGACTAGTAATATATTGAGTCACTTTGAATTTTATAGACCAAGAATTTCATGATACTGTTCTAGCAGCAAATTACTCAGAAAATTCTAGTCATATAAAAATAAATTCCAAAAACTTTAATGTTAAAAAGCTAATGATACCATTAAAAGCTTTTTCACTTTTAAAAGTGAAAACTTCAAAAAACATACTTAAATAAGTCTTTGGTTTTATAGAGTACATTGTTGTGAAAATCAATATTGTGAAATAAATAAGGTATCTTTGGAAATTATTTTAACATGTGGAACTATTCTGCACTTCCCCAGACTTATCCTCCTGATGACTTATTGTGTATCATTCTAAAAGGAGAGCCATGATAATTTGTTCAATGAGACTAATCCAAATTCTCCTGTAAAGTGATAGTATAGTACTTTGTTTGGCAGCTGCTTATCATGATAACAAACCTTTAGGATAATTAATTTATAAAGAGAAATGATTTATTTTGACTCATAGATTTTGATGGTTCTGGTCTGTGATTGGCTGGCTCCACTGCTTTTTGGCCTGAAATGAGGCAGTGCATGATGGCAGATAGGAGATGGAAAGAGGATGGGTCTTGGTTCCCCAGTCCTCTTCAAGGTTAGGAACCCAATGACCTAAAAGTCTTCTATGATTAAAAGTCACCATCTCCCATTGTAGCCACTTTTGAGACCAGGTCTTTACCAAATTTACCTTTGAGGGCCACTTCTAAATGTCCAAACTGTAACCAACACTGATGAGGATTTGTTGGTTTCAAGGCTGTTAGGCTGGAAGTTCTTGCACCATGAGCGGGTACCCCTCATAGCACCCATCCCTGCTGTTACAACTGAATGGACTCACACTGTACCAACACTGCCCCACTGAAACCAACCCATTAAGAAAAGTCATTCTCAAGAGAGTATTTTAGTGAGTAATTTCATGCTTTGAATTCAATCATATGTATAGTATTTAATATATAAAGTATCAAGTATTACTGATGCCATATTTTTAGAAACCTGTATTTTTGTTCTTAATAAAATAGTACCCAGATACTGTAGGACTTGATTGACAGATGTTCATGTACAGCTGAATTATGGGAGGCTTGTGAGGTGCCTGAGGCTCATGGTGCTACACTTTTGTAGTAGAAAACAAAGACGTTTAATGAAAAATGTCTCATCTTGTCTCTCAGGGACTTCATGTAGATATTAATTTTAAGAATCACTGGTAAAATTCTACATGTTTAAAATTTATCAAGACAAAATATTTCAATACCTACTACTCCATTTATTTTTGCAGGTACTCATCAAGAAAAACAATGTTACTTCTAAAGTGTGGGCTCAAACTGGACAGCAAGGTGCACAGTGGAGGAAAGTAGAAGTCTTTTTAGGCATTCACTCCTATACACAGGTTTGTAATCCAAGTGGTTATGTGAAGAAAGGGTTTTGTTAGTTTACTTCTTTCATACTAAGTTACTTCCTCCCCTTGAAATTTCATGTCCTCTTTCTCCCAACTTGATATATTGTATGAATGCACAACATTTAAAACTCCATATGGCTTTTTCCACAAAGAATTTGCAATGTCATAAAGCCCTAACTTTACTCAATTAGACAGTCGTCCTTCTAGGAATATTTAATTTGAATGATAGATATTCTCTATTCCCTACAACACCTCCCTTGATTTTGCAAATATATACTTGGAGACTATAATAAAATTATCTCAAATATAATTTAAGGGCAGTCTTTTGAAAGTATATGATTGAAACTTATAGGGTAATGGATTTATATAATTCCAAATACTTTGGGAGGCACTATTATGATTCTTATAAATTACAATAATATTAGGAAGGTAAGGCTAATGCATGTCTAATAATTAAAGAAAATTTCAAGTAGTAAATAGATCCAGATATTTAAATTGAAAATAATTATGTAAAGTATTTGGTATAAATTTTATTTTTTATGGATTATCAACAAAACGAGAAGTTTGCTTGGAAGATGAAGCTTAACTGCTAAGTGTTTTCCTGAAAGAGGTAAAGATGTCATATTATGATGATACATGCCCCATAGCAGCACAATTCATAATAGTTAAATATTGGAAGCTGCTCATGTGGCCACCAACAGATGAATTAATAAAGAAAACGTGGTATTTATACACAGTGGCGTACTAATACGACATAAAGAGTGATAAATTTGAGTCATATGTAGGCAAATGAAAGCACCATAACACCATAATGTTAAGTGAACTAAATCAGACTCACAAGCCTAAATATCACGTGGTTTCTCGTGTAGGAGAAACCCAAAGTTTAAATAATCTAAAGAGCAAAATAAAAATAGATAATAAAATACAGGGTGATCAATCTTTGGAAATGGGAAGGGGATCAAGACATGGCAGGCGGAGGAGTGAGGGGAAGGGAAGTAGAAAGAATTACAGTGTGTTCTGTACATTAACCAGCTCCCCTTGATGGATGATATCATTATCTACTGAAAGCGTGTACTAATAAAAATAAACGAAAGAGAGGAATTATATAAAAAGATGTTCAGATTTTGAGAATCAAAATAGGAACCCAGAGACTTTTATAGATTCATTTTCTTCTTAATTACCTGGAGCTTAATTCTATGAATCTAAAGCTACTTATCACTAGGTAGGAGGGATAAGATCCTTGTCAATTACTGCACTGTTTCCACTCTTCTGTATGAGAAGTTTAGGTAGCCATGTTGGCTGGGAATGTTCAGTAAATATTCACTTTCTCTGACAGCTCAGCCCCTTTCAACTTCAATGGAAGCACAGCCTGGATCTTCATATCTTTATACACTGACACAGCATTGTGCCCAATTTCTTGTGATGATATGTATAATAAATTCCATATGGTTTTCCTTTACTGAACTATCTGGTTTTCTTGTGGAACAGTTTTTGAAAACTTCGGATATGAGTAAAAAGTACAACCTAAATTAATAAAGATTGAATAACAGTTTAATGGTCTTGAAAATTATGAAATTTATTATTCAAAGATTCCAGCTGTTCACTCTCCATGATCTTAAAAACTGAGGCAAGAAGAATCCTCAGCAAGAACATGTAGGAGGTTCTATGGCTACTAGATATTATGATTTAACCCCAGACAGTGAATTCTTATTGGTTCTATGCACTTAGAATATTTACATGGTAAAGTTAAGCTCAAAATAATATTACAGTGTATTTTAGCAAGTGAAATATATTACTGAGTTTTTCTAAAATCCTAATTTTTATAGATTGAAATTTAGTACAGAGATGTACACTCATGTTATTTGAATCTTAAAGATAAATATTAATGGCTTGTGAACATTTGCCTTTTCATGTGGCTTACTTGCTCATTCAGTAAATCTTATCGACCACCTTTTATGTGCAAAAGATGTTACACTCTGTAGAAGGTACAGTGATGCATGAGCATGCTGCTCATGGTGTTGCCATTCTTACAATTGACTCTTTTTCCTCACAAAGATGAGTACCTCTAATACTTGAGTAAAACTATAAGACACTTTTTAGAAATTGCATTCTGAAAAAGCCATGGGAAGCTTGCATAATTTTACTTGGAAGCCCTCACATTTAAACAAAATAATTGTAAAAATTTTAACTATTTTTTCTATGAGTTTAAAATTATTATTATTATTAAATTTTGTTTTGGTACCATGGATCAAACTCATGACCTTGTGCTTGCAAGGGAGGCACAGTGCCACTGAGATAAATCCTCAGACCCTAGTTTTAAATTAATACTTGCTCAATCAATCAATGTAATACACTATATCAATAGAGCCAAGGACAAAAACCATATGATTATCTCCATAGATGCAGAAAAAGCATTTGACAAAATCCA